AACTATCGCTTCCAGCGAGGAGAGCAGAGGTTATTCATGGTGGTCACTAGGGCACCACGTCCGTATCAAACTGGCCCGCCCCCACAGTTCTGATGTTCCAGCTCCCGGAGGTGGCTCCCGATTGGTTCTCGCATTATTCAATCAACCAACACCAACACTCGCCAACCCCTGTTATGTCAACCCCTGCCTGTTCAGCTCCTTCGTGGAAAACCTGCCCCTGGTCACCGCCACCTTGAACATCAACGTCTGTGGACTTCTATCGAATTCAGGCTATTTACGATTCGTTTTAGCGAATCCCTGATTCAACCGATTTTCGGATGTTTGTGTTCTGAGTTCTCATGCTCCCCTTAGTTGGTACCGTCCATCGAGCTGTAACTCCGAAACACATCGCATTTGGCGCCCGATCCAAGCTCGTTATCGACCAATGGAAAGCACGTATGTGACCCGTCCGACAAGTAAGTACATGACACGGTCGTGATTGTAGTCGACTGTGGGTTATCAGGTGGTGAGCACTGGATGGGTATCAGTAATTTTGGAGGGCAAAGACTTTTTTACTGCATTACGTTATAACAGTGTTCCATCGAACACTTCCTGGAGGTGTTGGCTCAAGACCTTAGCATCGGTTAGGGAGTTTGTAGGTTTACGTAGTTTACGAGGTCAAACCCACGCGCCAATCGCTCCAGCCCCACCCCTCCCCAAATTGCTTTCGAGGAAGCTTCTCTCCCGCGGACGACGGCTTGGGACCCTGAAAATCTCCATCTTCTTCTTCTTCATACTTTCTCATTTGCTTTTGTCGCTCCCGAGGATCAAGACTGTACGACATGCTGCAACCGCGCCCTTAAAACACGCGCTGTTTGAGGGTTGCCCCTATAGTTACACTTACACCGTTAAACTGCTCTTTCTCGCCCGATAATCTCGTACAGTATGAGATTGTCACGGCGCGCACCCGCAGAACGTATCACCAGCCATGCGATTTTCAGAACCTTCTGCATCACTGCAGGCTCGTTCTGAGCTAGCTGTGTCGTTCGATATTTTCTCTCCATGAATCTCGACGAGGGGATCCTTTTAATGGTGTCTAGAATCACCCAGTCGAAGGTTGATTGGTTCGAGGACCTCCTCGGTCCGTTTGCTTATTTTTCAGGGATCCGAATGGATCAAGACAGAGGTTAGCTGAAATTTGAGACACCGCGTATTCGGTGCTTGCTGCAGTCACGTTGTAGGCGAAGACCGACGCACCCACTGTACGGCCGCCACCGTAGTGACCTCCTTATAGTCTCCAATTCGCTAACAGCTATCACTTCCATGTATAGCATGCGAAGTGCTGGGCACCTGGAAGACATGTTGTGGTCTGGATATCTGGCTCCGACGGTCTTCTTGGACTGGAATTGTTCCGAAATAGCTATCTCACAAAAGCCACACGCTTGTCTCAACCTCGTTTTCTAGCCTGGTCAAGAGATTTGGTCGCAAGACAACGCTTGCGCTCTCCATCTGTGTTCGCCTAAGCAACTCCACCGCAGCAGATAATCCTTTACGACTTTGTGCCTACGACTCAAAGCTTCGAAGACCTTACTCCATTGTCGGCGCTACGCTACCTTACTCCATTGTCGG